TTTCAGCTACTAATCACCGTCGTTACAAAGCTATTAAAATTATTTAACAACTAAGTTAACATACTCACCACATGTTTAACAGATACATCCTTGCTCCAAATGGTCAAATTCCCCTTGGCAGTTGCTCCCAATAAATAATGCATGTACGTTGTGGCATAGACAAATTCTTCTTTGCTTTCAGAAACAAAATCATGAGTATGCTCTCCAGTTAGAATACTGTATGCACTTATAGAGCAGCCACAAACTATGTAAATGTATCTGTAAATAGAAAACATAATTGAATCAAGCTAGAATTGATAAATCATTCTGTTGTCAAAAAAGAATAGAGAACAAATGGTTAGAGGATATCCACTTAAAAACCAAGTACACAAGCTAATTCACATTTTCTGGCAGTTTAAGATTTAACTCTACTCAACCCTGTCCAAATGTCCTACTATACTAGGCTTCTGTACTAGATCACTAGATGTGTTTAAAGAATGACATTGTTCGAGAAAGAATATTTATTTGTCAAGTACGACATAAATTGCAGGCTTTTAGTAGTGTGGATGTAGGATGAAACAGGATTTTTGACCTGACACCTGTTTCTCTTTTTCAGACTGCTTTTCTGATAAAAAAACTAAAAGGAAAGTTAGGGTTCTGCAGAGAATCTACGATATATCGTCATTTGAATATATAGTAATAGCAAAACAGGAGTGCAGATGGAGACCAGATCAAGTCCCTTCACATGCACGCACCCCCACAGGTCTCCATCGGCACTCCCGTTTTGCTAACACTGTAGTTCCATATTTATAGCATAACCTTATGGGATTTAGTATTCACACGTAATATATGGATTTTATGTCTCTCAAGAAGGCTTTTTACTTTCACACTGGCGGTTAGGTTTGGTTAGTTTTGACCAAGTTTAGTTTAACTTAGTTTAGTTTATGATAGTAATAAACAAAGTAGCCTAAGTTAAGCCTAAACATTAATAAAAAGTTGATATTTTGTGTAGTTTTTTAATTAAAGGGATACATTTACAAAATACGGTAAATTAAGTTTGTATTGGTATCGTTTTTTTTTAATGAGTTTCATAAACTAAACTGAACTAGACCAACCTAACATAATGCCGCAGCACACTGTAAAAGAGCTGCAGGCAAATAATCTAATTTACTTGAAAAACAACATAGGCCTTTGAACTAACAGAAAATCAACATTTACATTCAATGTTCATACAATCAAAATATTTTAATCAATAACTTATTTATGTTATAGTCATCTAATATTCAATCCGATAATATATCATGGGTTTTCTGCAGAACTGAGCCCAAAGTAATCTCAATTGATTAAACTTACCTAAATTAACTTACAATTTTTTGCACAATATAAGTTAGGCCTAGTTCCAATTCCAATGTTTTACTTAGGCTAAATTTATGTTACGGAGAAACATGACAACTAAACTTAATACAAAAAATTTCACTCGGGATAAGTTAGATTGGGGAAATACACTAGGGATAAACCAGGATTTTTCATTATTTTTAAAAGAAGTCCAAAGGGGTTTTGTATACACAGGTTAGGGATGAGCATTGACAGGTCAACCATCGATTGTAACATTGACGTCAACCATTGATGTACCGATAACATCGTTGCGAAAACAGTCCCAGAAACATTGATATTTTTAGTTTGCTTTTTGTACTCTCTAGTACCGTAATGGAAAACATCAATATCTCAATACTTGTCCAAAAACATTGATGTTTGATGAAAACATCGGTAAGTAATTTAACGTACCATCAATGTAAAGAACATAAGTCATAAGTCATAAGTTCTTTATTCCAAAATAACAAAAAACACATTGTATTGGAAAAGTCATAAAAATAAACAATAGTAAAAACTGAAAAAATTCTTATCAAGGTAGGCTAAATAATATGTACAAAGACTAACATTTGATTCTTGTTTAATCTTTAGTCTAACAGGAATGACTGACTACATGTCAGCTGAGAAATCGCGGACGCTGTAGCAAGCCTTTTCAACTAATATGCTTTTCAGTTGTTTTCTGAATTTAAGTAAATCAGTCTCTAGCTTCAGCTGTTGGGGAAGTTGGTTAAACAGTTTAATGCCATTATACGTAAGATGTTTTTTAAAAAATGAGGTTGAATGGACAGGGATTTTCAGGTTGTGAGATGTGCGTAAGGAGTATGTACTGCAGTTAGTGCTGGTGTTAAATATTGACTGGTGTTTTTTTACAAAGGAAAGGGTTTCAAGGATGTATAGTGAGGGAAGAGTCAAAATAGCAGCTGACCTAAATGATTCCTTACAAGATCGTCTTTTGAAAAGTGAAAATATGACACGAATGGCTTTTTTTTGCATTTTAAAAAGGAAGGAGGTTTGTTTGTTTTCAGATCCCCAAACAGGTAGAGCATAAACTAGATAAGGGAATATTAAGCCATAGTACACAGAAAGAAGAACTTCCGTCGAGGCTGTTGTGGCCAATGTTCGAAGTACAAAGATGCCTGTGCTTGCACGTTTTATTACGTAATCAACATGAGTTTTGAAATTTAAACATTCATCTAAATGAATGCCTAAGAATTTTACAGACTGTACGGGATGTATAATGGTTTCATCGAGAAGAAGAGACAGATTCGGATCTTTGTTGGACCTGTTTGAGATTCGAAAGTTGATTAGCTGGGTCTTCGCAGTGTTAGTTTTTTATCATTGATTGGAAAAACATCGATGTTTCGAAATCATCAACTATCGATGCTCCCTTAAGTTAATCGGCCAGTCCTCAACCTTCAACTCAAATTCTATGTGCAACAATAATCGATATATTCATTCGAATGAGTGTAGGACAGATACTAAAGTGCAGCCCAAAAAACAATCAACCTTCATCATTGCAGCCACAACATGTTATTGCATGTGCTAGGCCTAGTAAAAGTTCAGTTCATATTATCAAATGGTTTAGGTACTATGTAGATACCACGAATACGACTCGATACTTAATTTACTAGCTTACTTTCCGTCTGTTGAAAATAAAGGTGGATTTGCAACAATGCAGCCGCCTCCCCTATTTCGGACAACTATATTTTCCTCCATTGGATTATCTATTATTTGAAGACTTTCGTTTAAAATCACGACCATATTTTTACCATTTAAAAAGTCACAGTTTTGACCAATTGAAAACTTGTACAGTATATAAACCAGAAATATAAAATGTGTTTTGTAAACCTACATAGGTTATGATCAACATACACATACACAAGGACAAGACAAGACGACGACGACAACCGCACCGCACGGCAATACGACGGACAGCATCGCATGAGCACATGATGAGCATGGTGACTTTTTTATCGTTAGAAAAGTCTAGCTTAGTTTTTAAACATGCAGTCATGCTGCCTGTTGGTCTAAGCGTTGATTAATAGGGGATTCCAGGCAGTGGTCACTGTGGTAATGGAGTGTACTGGTACTAGGGAGAACCATAGACTAACCAACACAAGTAGACTTCTCATCCCATTGTAAATTTTGAAGCTCGTTTTTCATGTCTAGTTCATGTACGCCACACTAGGCGCTAGTGTCGACGAATTTTTGTTTCTATTATTTCAGGGTTAATTTCTTGATTTGTGCTTTACTGTTTGGTTAAATAACTAGGGGACAATTTATTGTTTATGATTAGATCGTATTATTTGGTTAAACGAGGTGTTAAATGTCTGTATCAACGGGAAACAAATTGTAAACAAAACACGACATCTACATAAACCGTACAGAACTAACAATAAAATTGTCTTCAGCTGTTCCATTAGGATGAGAAATCTAGTAAGGGAGCATGTTTTATCTATGGGAGAACCTAAGGAACGGTTTTAGCGATATGAATATTTCCGTTTTCACAGACAGCCAAGCTGCACTCAAGCTCAAGGAACTCGGCGAGTTCAAAGTTCGAGTACAAGTAGCGACAACGTCACAACAGTAGGCCTATGATCTTGTGGGGACACAGCCTTTCTGTGGAATTTCTCATGGTATGCAAGTCAGTCAGTAATGTCATGGGCTCAAGAGGAACACGGGACAAATATATGGATTAAGCTTCTTGCATCACAGTGTCAGCATCAAGCTCACTCTCCTCTTTCCTTCTCAAACAGTCACCTCCAATGTTTTACGATTAAACAGGATGCAAGAAAGGCAGATCACACGAATGGTCACAGTTCATAATGGCTTCCTGAGAATATGCATACATCGCTTCCCAGTCAGCACACATACATACATTATACATATAATGTATGTTCAACTTAGATCTACAATACGTATATCAGAGAGATACGTTACGTAAAATGTACGTATAATATACGCTCAAATGTCCCACTTGTTGACGTACAATATACGTTGATTTAAGGTCTACATGGACATAAAATATCCGTAGATTATATGTATAAATATAAATTGTTCCATTATCATACACTGTGTACACCTAAAATATACGTACAATTTATATAGCAAATGTATAATGTACATATAATCTACGTATAAGTTTTCTTATAGATATACGTACATTATCCCATACGTTTTACATGTGTTACCCATAAATAGATAAATCTACAATATCTGTAAGCACAACTTTGTAAATAATATGTATTACAGACTGTTAGTTAAGGCAACACTTAGTTCATACGCTTTGTATAATATGAGTAAACGGAAAGTATAGACAACAGAAAGCATCCTAGACTGTGGGATATATAATCCTTGTATTGTATATATAAATTTGCTGCAACTCAAATATTGAATGGTAGCCTAATTACCAATTAGTAAAAAATAACAACTGCTTCATCTATGGCGTGAATAATAAAACACTGTTGTTAAAAAATTAATATTATTTTTTTTAATTTCACAAACAAAATTTGAACTAACTACTGTACATAGTTAAAGCTAGATTTTTATTAATGTGTTTGTTAAAAATGCTTAAATGTAGACTTTCATAGAATAAAAAAAATTACAGACACTAAAGGAGAAGACTTAGATAACAACAACAGTAATACAGTAGATAAATAAAGATTTATTATAAAAATTAATCATTTACACAGACTAAAAATAATCTCCTCTTGTTTTTATTTGCCATTCTTGTTCCAGCTTGTGTAAACCACTCTCTTACTCTTCCTTCATAAACTTTGTTAGAAAAGGTGTTTGGACATGATGCAGCTAGTAAACCTGAAAAAGGTTTGCTGTTTATAAAAAGCAATTCCCAAATCTTAAAAACATTTGGTACTTTGGTATTATCCGGAGGCCACCCTTATGCAGCACACTTTGGCGGTTATGTTAGGTTGGGTTATCATAAATATGTTTGTAGGACTTTCTTTGTTTCGCTATGAATCGAACCATACCAGATGAGTCATACTTTCGCCTGCTAAATCCCCCCAAGTAGGCCAAGGTCAGGTTGTTGAACAGAGCGTGCGCATCACCTGTCACCGCCTGTATCTCTGGTATTGTTACTCATCTGGAATCAACTGATTCATAACAAAACGAGGAAATTCCTACAAACATATTTATGACAACCCAACCTAACATAACCGCCGCAGCGCACTATATACCTACTTGGTGGAGTACGTGTAGCAGCTAGGGGCGGCAATGCATTAAGTCAATCCTTGCCGACATCGCTGCCTTTTGGGAGACAGAACTCTAAGGCTGCTAATCGTAATGATGTCAAATTTGGACAGTATGTCAATTAAAGTATGTTCTTTCCAATTGTGTAGTTATTTTTGGCTTCCGGTAAAAGATCCCTCTAAAAATAAGTGCTTTACGGATAATACCAAAGCACCAAACATTTAGCTATACTGTACTCAGCCTACCTAGACAAATTATTATATTTATACAGTTTATAATGAAACAAAGTAAGAGTGTTTTGCAGAATCTGTCAGGCATTAGGGCCTAATTTCAATAGTATTGTGATCGGAAGATGCATCTGCAGGAATTGTGCGATTAAAAATTCATGGTATTTCCACAACGCAGGAGTTGTTCACACAAATTGTTAAAAACAAGTTTTTAGACCTACCTACCAACAAAAGTAACAATCTCAAGTGTAAACACGGCTTTATACACGCTAAAGCCTCATTTGACAATTTCATAACAATGACTGAGTGACTTGCTAACCGAGTCGATACTGGCAACGTATTTTCTTCAATGATATATTTGACTCAGGCAAAACACACGCAGAAAATCTTAATCTGAATCGGCTTGCAATCAGAAGTTTCAATGTGATAAACTCATATAGGCCAAGATTTTTTTTGTGAAAATTTGGTTATGCTCATCTTTATGCCCAATGGTCTTGAGATACAATGGGAAAAGTAGTACCATAGCCTAAATATCATTGCATCTTGTAAAAGACAACGCCAGGGGCAATAGATTAACATATTTACAGAGTCGTAGAAGTATAAGACACGGACTTATCGTGTATGTTTGAAAAAAATAGCCTACATGGCAACTGAAGCTTGTCTTATTCTGTCATAGCCCCTCCATACGAGTTGTCGTGGCACCCCTTTACAGAAAGATTTGTTTTACATAAGTAGCACTGGTATTTCTTTACCTATTTAATTGGTTCGTTTTTATGTTTGATTGACGATTAAGTCTCTTGAAAGTGCGTTATGATACGAGATTGATACAGACAATGCATGCATGCAATCGAGTACCGGTACAACATATACAATCGCGATACTTAGCCTATATAAAATTATTTTGACCGATCCTGGCCTTGTAGGATCGACTGTAAGTGGTAGACCTACTTTATTACTAGTGATTGTGATAAAGAAGGATTTTCATTTCATTTAGTTAGGTAATGCAATTTCAGTATGCCAATGGGTTGAATTCCTAGCAATTGTTTTGTTTTTACCGTAAATTGTAAGCAAATTGGAATTTCCAAAAGAGAAATTCATTATTAATGTTTCTAATTGAAGTAGAAACTTGGTAAAAAGGCTGAAAATAGGTTTTTAAGATCCTCCTCAATATTTAATTAGTCCTAAAACTTATATAATTTAAACATTGGTAGGCCTACAGTACCAGTATAACACACAGTACACACAGTACAGGCCAGTTTGGTAGGCTCTATCAACCATCACACTCGGGACCAGGTGCTTGAATGTTGTTAAGCTAATATAATAGACGGATGGCAGAAATCCTGTTATAAACCTGTAGGCTACAGTAAGTTAGTTTAAAAGGTTTGGGAAGAAATCAAACCCTATACAGATCGTGACACATAAGCTGACACTTGGCCTATTGCGGCAGTATTGGCGGGAGGAGGGTGGAGGTGAGGAAAAGACTGGGCTGCAAATATTTACGCTGGCTCACGGGGTTGACTCCCCGTGTATTCTGTACTAGTGCGCCTTCACATGGGTTGTGATGACAGTTAACACAACACGCATGACAGCACATAATGTTTTTGAACTAGCTAGTAGAGATCAGCCAAGTGCTAGCTTAGGTGTCACAAGCTTTACAAGTAAATAAATAATACATTTATATTTTAATCCTACTTACATGCAAGAGTAATACATAACTGTACCGTATGTTGTATTTTGTATGTTGTACTTGTTCAATATGTGTAGAGTGGAATGACATCACATTCAAATATAATCTGGAAGGATAGTGGGGTGACAGATAAACAGAGAGTGTCTGTTTAAAGGGTGACTGTTAATCGAGGTTCTACTGTAGTGCTATTTTCGATGGAAACTTAACTTAAGTTTCAAACTTAAAAGTCTATAAAATATAATAATCCAGTGATCATCTCAGAAAATCATAATGTTAACAAGTTTTAAATTAGGTATGGTAATGTAAACAGACTTACTTTCCAAAACCTTGAAAATTGAATGGTTGTTCAACGCTCTCTCCCCTTTCATTCCTTCACAACTGAAATTGACAGCAACATGATGATCAGCCTCACCAACGTTCTTCTTCCTGAATATTCAACGGAACGCCCGTCTCTTGTAAAGAACTCAATCTGAAAAAGTGAGTTAGGCCTACTGACATAAATGAAATCTCCAATAAACAGCTTATCATTAGTCCTACTATAAACCAAGTAAAAATATAGGCTAACTTAGATGGAAATTATAAAAAAATCCAGAAAAAGTATTTCTAGAGGGAATAAACAAAATCTAAATTTTGCCTGGACATGGGTTTTAGCCTAGCCTATATAAAGAGCGATTGATCGAGGATCGGTTAAGAGAGATTCATTGAACCACTAACTTACAGGTTTGAGCATTGTTTCATCGGCCTATCATGCTAGTAAGTTTAACAAACTATGCAGACTGTAGATTACGAGTCTAAGGTCATAACTCAATACAAAAAATAAAATAACGTACTACTAAGTTATAATTAGCCTACCTAGGACTAAAAGTTTCAGAGGTTCAATTAAATTTCATTTAGGCCTAAGGCCTTTGTTTTCTACAGCTCTTTTAGTCCAACATTACAGTGGGCCTACCTACCTAATACAATAAACAATTATCCCTAATAAACTATACATTTTAACTCCACATAATTATGGCTGATGTCAATGTTTCTCTTAAAAACACACCCAAATGGTGAACAGAATGTGAACAATTAGCAAAACTTTGACCCCTAATCGCAGCCTTCTTCTTTATTCTGTCAATCCTATCTTGCCTAGATGATGATTAATATCCTATTCATAATCATCAAGGATCTACCGGAAAAGGGGTTAAGTTACTCAATTACTTACCCCAATACCCAAATCATATTAATTTAATTTGTTAAAATAATAATCCAGACACTTACCTTGAAGTAATAACGAAGTTCAATTATTTTGCAGAATCAACACAAAAACTTAACCTACAAAATATTACTTTAGTACCCAAACTTTATAAATATCAACTAGGGTCTGAATTGCGAATAAACTCTATTAATTTACAATACCACTTAGCAAATTATAACCCTTCAAAAACTAGACAAGTAAACTTAAGTGAAAAACAGTGAGCGATCTAACAACAACGTTACTTGAATTTTACTGAACTCGAACTCCAGCACCAGCAGACAGCGAAGCAACGCTAGCTTACTAGAGCACAGGATGACGGGAATGAAAAGAGAGAGAGTGAGTGAGTGAGTGAGAGGGGAAGAGATTTTTATGTCTAGCTAGACCGGTGTGCAAAATCGCCGCGATTGTATAGAATTAGTTATTTTATGGTTTAACCTAAATACATTAATAATTTATTTATCCGTGTATTACTTTATTAAACATTTTGTGTTTTTTTTCAAACGTCGATCTGTATACGTCTAATTTATGTATAATATACAGCAACCGGATTTACCTGACCTATGATTATTCTGTAACATAAGCATTTAAAAAAAATATTTTGTTATTTTTGCATCAACTTTTAATAAATACCGCTAAATACAGATCGGAGATAATCTTTTTAATTCGTAGATATGAGACGTATAAAATACGTATATTTTACGTATTGAATTTTACCAAACATAAAATGGATATGTATCTCTAAAATGTACGTATATTATACGTAGTGTGCTGTGTGGGTTGAGGATCCACAGTAGATATACTGCATGTATATACATGTGGACAGTCTAAAGATACTGTAAAACTAGCAAACCATCTACTCTATGACTGCACAGCTCTTAATGAGGTAAAGGGAAAGCTATCCATGACAAGGAACAGACACCTTCCTCAGGAGTAGCCCATAGATAAGAATCTACAGTTCATCGAACAACTCAGATTTGACGGGTTCTAAAGGCACTTACCATCTAATTCGATCAATCAATCCTGATGCGCACTGTTGAATTGCTTTAGAATAAGAGACAATAATGTTATTAAGTTAGTAACAGTTTCTTCAACTGCTTTTGTGTGACACTTCAAGTTTTCTCTACATGTTTATTTCATATTTCCGAATTTAACTCAAAATTCAATTTTTATTGTTAACTAGCTGGCCCGACAGACGTCGTCCTGTCCTAATGTGGTTTTATGTCAAATGCTCGTTCATTTTCAAGATGAGCTCGTTAGCATGGCTCAATCACGTCCTAGTTGAAGTTCGTTCGCTACGCTCACTCACCTTTAGGTTGGAGCTCATTCACTGCGCTCACTTGCCTTCAGGTTAGCTCGTTCGCTACGCTAACTCGCCTCCAGGTTGAAGTTCGCTCGATACGCTCACTAACCTTTTTAGTTGCAAATTAGCTGTTGTCATTTAAAAAAAATAATAGTGCAGCACCCTATTGGTAAACCTAATTACTTTTTAAAGCTATTGAAAATCACCGAATCAAATTCTTTAGTTGAACCAGCTGTTAAGATTCTTTAATTCCATTTAAATATGCGAGTACTCATAAGGTTAACATGGGAAACTCTAGAGCCACTGGGGCGCGGAGCCCTCTTGACGGATCTGCACTAAACTTCACACAAACCATCCTTGAATAATGCTTAATAATGCCTGAAAGTTTCAATAATAAAATATAAAATAAATACGTTTTTATGTACAATCACAATAATTAAGGACTAAATGTTTTCACCACAAAACACAATCACCTTCAATTACAGTCTTTTACCGTGTACACCAGCAGATTCAAGCGACGTATGTACAACTTTACTATATGTTAAAGTTTTACTCATTATACTGTCTTTGAATGTTATATTTTGTCAAGGTTACAGACTAAATAGTCTACTATTGTAATACCAATTCTAAAAGTTTATTTTGTCTGCTCTCTAACACGCAATTGAACCAATTTATAAGCTAAGCATGTTTACATTTAAAAATCCATTATGGTCAAAAACTAAATAATAGCCTATAAGTTACCATATAACACACATTGATAAATAATTGGTTATCACTGTTGCAATGAGTTTCCATGTCTTAAAGTACACAAACTCTAAAATAAAAGTTCTCCAGAAAGGTAATCTTACACTGAAGGTGTCAAAGTCAACATGACTAAAAGAGTTTCTTTAACTGCTTTCGTGTAACACTTCAAGCTTTCTCAACAAGTTTATTTCATAGCTCAAAATTCACCCTTTTATTCAATGAAAATCATGTATCATGCAGTATTATTGATAGGTAGATCAGTGGTTATAGTTTTCTTCTAGCAATCAAAAGATTTCCGAGTCAATCCTGGGAAAAGTTGAAAGACTTTTGACAGCTCAAAACTGAACCTAGCTGTCCTTCATTTGGATTTTGATTAATGGTCGTGGCTAAAAAACCAACAGGTCTTAATAAATAACGATAAACTGGAGATGATCCCACTACATTCTACAGTCACCCTGCACATCTCTTCACGTTTATTTTAAAATGCAGTCCTAGAGTGTGTCTCGCTCTGGCACGAAGAATGGTTAGATTGATTTAATTTATAAGTAGTATTAAGAATCGGGATAATTACGATAACCAACCCAATTTTTATGCACTAAAAATAGTGTAAACTTATACATACTAAAATAGTAAAGTTAACAAATGCAATATTAGGCAACACTTAATGCATGTATATTTATTGTGGAAAAAAGTTTTTTTTTTATCCTTAATTATATAAAACAACTTAAAATTTAGCAAAAATATAGAATAGCATGACTATAATGTAACGATTCTATTGAGGGACTAATTTTGAAATACTTGCATTATATCGATACTATAACGTCAATTTATCACTAAACTCAAAAACATAAATGAGTGTGAAATGATCTTTACAAAGTATTCTCACAGCCAAACCTTGAATCAAATAATAAACCAGAGGACAAAGTCACAATGAACGAAAGAGACTAATGATAAGACTTTAATTTAATCTTAATTCCACCTTAACTCTCCTCCAATTATAGCCCCAGATGATATTATCTTCCCGTTATAAGATTTTCTTAATCCTCCAAAAAATGATTAGAAACTTCTAACTAAAAATTATTTTGAAATGAAATAATATTTAAAAAAGTGTAGTTTATCGCAAAATGTTTTAAAATTAAATTGAGTAAAATGAAGAATCTCCCCTCACATATATACTCACATAGGATAACTTTCTTTTGTCTAGATCGTTTCCAATACACTAGTTTTTTGTCACATAATAATTTTATGAGAAGTAACGATTTTATCTTATCTAAATCTTATTTTGTAATTGAAGAGTATTTCACTCTAAGGCTGATTGATTATTCAACGTGTTTTTGTCATACTACGCGGGGAAAATGTCTTTCAATACCTAAAATGCGGCTGGAAACTTGCCGTTTTCATTTTAAGTAACATATAACTTATTATGTTCTCTTGTTGTCTTTTCCGATCACTAAAATTAGCTACATGTTTATCTTATGGCGAAAGCCTATTTTTGCAGGACAGTTCTTTTCCCATCTGTTTTAGAAGTTACAACGCAACAGCTGACTTTTATTGTTGCCAAATAATTGGCCACAGTTAACCCCGATGTTAACCCCTCATTGATGTTACACGTGTAACATATTATGGAATTGTGATTTCTAAAAACATTGGGTTTTTGTGTTCCTTGATTCTAGAATAACTTGTTTCTTGATTCGTAGTTATATGACTTGTTTGTAAAATGGCGAATAGTATCGGTCAATACTCGTCCGAAAAGCTCTTTGCCAGTGCTTGATCTTCTTCTCGCACGTAAACACGATCTCGCACTGGCAAATAGCGCTTTTCCGGACTAGTAACGAAATATACTATTGCAGATTTTAAATCAGAGTAACAACTTCGTGTCATACATGTGTTGTCAAACAAGACCCAAGTAAGCCAGAGTTGCAGCTGATGATAATATGTGGCTTCTGTGGCTGGATAATTTGTATCCTGACCCCATTAATCTTACCAAAATTAAATCCTTGACACTATACACTGATATGATGATAAACATAGTAAACCATGCATTAAAATACTGTCTATTGTTGAATACTTAAAGAAAAGGGATAAAAATGAGTATGCAGTGTAGATATAAAAAATACGATTATATATACGAGCTATATATACTGTATAATTTATGTATTTATATGACTGATGGTTCTGATGGTCTAGTTAGAGCACTAGCATTTTGTACTCTATACTCTGTACCCTACTCTATACTATACTAATGATAATACTGTATTTATTAGCTTCAATATACAAAGAGTTCTACAAAATTAAAAATGTTTATTAAGTTAACTCCTACACGGTATTTTCGTAACACCGGGTGATAATCATTACAATACAAACCAAACCAGGGGATACCAATGTGATAAAAAATAAACGTTTTATATGAACTCAATATGGCAACCCCGAACAAAAGGACGCCTCCTAGGTTCATTTGAAGAGGTATTGAGAATGGAAAATCAAATCCTTTCACATCGCCCTGCTCAATTCAGAAATAATTCATTCTGCTCATAAATCCAATTTTTTCCGAAATTGGTTTTCCATGTAAAGATGTTTCCTTGTAAACTGTAAAAAGCTTCAGTTTCAATAAATATCCTCTAAGGTAGCCAGTACAGTATCCAAAGATATTTTAAATTTAATCCATTCATTAAAAAATGCTAACAAAATCTTGGGAAAAGTCTTAGCCTAACAAGTTTGGCACACAATTTGTCTCAATTTGAAATAAGTACTGTTAAAACATTTGTATTCAAGTTTACAACTTATTATTTGAAAGTGGAAAAGACAAAACTAGCACAAACAGAATGTTTATAATCCTTTTTGAAGTGAATTCTTTGTTAAAAGAAGTTAATCTTTAGGAACAATAGATTATGAAACAAAAACCTGTAAAAGGGAAACTTCACTTTTGAATGAATCTCTCTTTCTGTAACAACTAATGTTTTGAGATAAAGCTAACATTTTCAGCAGTTTATAAATTATGTTACAACATAAAGAATATTCACTATGAGTATTTTAAATTATTGTCTCAGACTAGAAAATGAAGCACTCAATTGCAAATATTTTAGAATTCAAGCTTGTGTAACAATACTTTACACTTACATTATAGTATATTACGTTACTAGTCCTGAAAATAAGTGTTTACTGGACGAGTGTGGTCGTTCCCGAGCGAGACGGTGAACACATTTTGGGCGAGTGACGTACGATATTTTACGCCATACTGCAAAATATTCAAAGATACTACTAAATCCGTACAAATACTTATACATTACAAGGCAACAATAATAAACAGGCCGTGATGCTCCTCTGGCATGACGTCATTATAGGCGACGGCATGTATAGTTGAACATATTAATAAACACTGTGCCCTTTTAAAGTAGTCAGTAGCGTACGAACAGTAGATAAATGCAAGTTTTCACACTGCACATTTTTGTCGAGCGGAAGCCCAGCAGTCAGTGCAAATAGACCAGTTGTTGCAATATTGTTTTCAATCTGACTTGCAAATTGGATAGGTACTGTTTATGTTTACTGTGACATTTTAAACACAGGAACTGAGTAATGTTAAAGAAAACACATACAGTATGCACGGCTAGTTAAAACATTATGGTTTAACCCGTATATTGTAAAAGGATCTAGAGGTCTGTCTGATTCTGACAAAGACCATTGAAAACCTTTGATGTCCAATCCACCTGAACAGCTTTGAGGTGAAATCAAGTTCAGTCCACATTTATCTGAATGTTTTGTCCCGATACAAACCACAAGGCTTGAGTGACGTATCTGACAGGATATTTTCTTTTATGTTCTTTATTTTAAAGAAAGATTCTTGGAATTACTCTCAAAGTTATGTCTCTTTGATATGGTGTTAAATATTGTTCCCAGCATGTTTTTTAGCGAATTTCCCATATAGGGAATAAGCTATTACCGTAGTACTCATGGTAAGACCTGGACGCGGGACCGATTTTTTTTTCGTTTTGAGGTCCCTAGAGGCCAAAAACACCATCCGTTCAAATTCATATATATATATATTTATATATTTATATATATATATATATATATATATATATATATATATATATATATATATATATATATATACAGGGTGAATTTTAAATGAGTTCCCCCCCTACTTTTTTCTACATTTCTTAAGATATCAACTTCGGACCACGTCAGATCATTGTAGTGTAGTAAGTACTTCATTTTGACTGGGTAAACATTTTTGGCCGCCATCTTGGATCCGCCATATTGGATACAAAATCTTTTTTTCAAATGTAAAGGTAGGGTTGTTACCCATTGTTTTAAACTAGAATTTTACGCTGATTACAATGCCGCAATAAGTTTTTACAAATCTTGATTCGTTCTAAAGTTATGAGGACTTTTTATAACTGTATTTTTAGCCCATTTTAACATTGTGCATTTAAAAACTAAGACCATAATCTCAAAATAGTGCTAGATAAAGATAAGTATACACCACCATTCATTGTTGACCTATTATCACTTGATTATGACGGATGTATTTTTTTCGGCCGCCATCTTGGATCTGCCATTTTGAAATGTGACAAATTAATTTAAATATGAAGGTGGTGTTGTGACCCATCATTTTAGACTACTTTTTTATGCTGAATTCAATGCTGCAATCCGTTTTGCATTTTCATATTTGTTTTTTGAAATATTGAAAATTTAAGTAAGATAATTTTAATATTTCATTAAGAAAGCCTTAGAGACAAAAACGGATTGCGGCATTGAGTTCAGCATAAAAAAGTAGTTCAAAATGATGGGTCACAACACCACCTTCATATTTAAATAAATTTATCACATTTCAAATGACAGATTCAAGATGGCGGCCGAAAAAAATACATCCGTCATAACCAAGTGATAATAGGTCGACAATGAATGGTTGTGTATACTTATCTTTATCTAGCACTATTTTGAGATTATGGTCTTAGTTTGTAAATGCACATTGTTAAAATGGGCTAAAAATAAAGTTATAAAACGTCCTCATAACTTTAGAACGGATCAAGATTTTCAAAAACTAATTGCGGCATTGTAATCAGCGTAAAATTCTTGTTTAAAACAATGGGTCACAACTCTACCTTTACATTTGAAAAAAAAATTTGTATCCAAAATGGCGGATCCAAGATGGCGGCCAAAAATGTTTACCCTGTCAAAATGAAGTAATTACTACACTACAATGATCTGACGTGGTCCAAAGTTGATATCTTAAGAAATGTAGAAAAAAGTAGGGGGGAAACTCATTTAAAATTCACCCTGTATATGTGTCCGTCAGCACGATAACTCGAGCAAAAATGATCCGATTTGGATGAAATTTAATACAAATGTGTAAACGTACGTTTATTCGAACGAGTTCGCGATCCAGCATGATCGGACCATGGGAACGGGGGTTTACGGGGGGTTTTATGGGGTAAAAATAGGTTTTTCCTATTTTTGACCCAAAAAACATAAAATTTAGCAATTTCTTTCCAAACCATTTTGTAGAGCTTAAAAAAACAAATAATTTAGTATATTGAAGCGTTATTATGTGCCTAATAGTTACGGAGAAAATTCCAAAAAATTGTAAATTTAAAATTCCCATGTTATTCTTATGGGGAATAAGTAAACTGTTGTAGTTTGCTTGTTTGTGAACATATTTTGATCAAATTTGGAAAATGTTTTTATTTCTCACTACCTATTCACATTTTACAAACAAAAAAAAGTTTTACCCTCCTTGATGCAGCAAACCTAAGTACTTGTTAAACTAATTCTATTTAAATCAAGAATAAATGTTATATTTTTAAGTAGACATTTCAGTGTAAATCCAATCAGTCAAATGGAAATTCGCTTAGTCTGCAGGTTTGCTGCGGCGGGGGTATTCTTTCTGTGCATTTTTCATGAACGGATTTTTAACGTTTTTATTAAAAAATGTATATAGTAGTTTTGTGGCATTGATCACAAAATTTCAATATTTCTGGGCACTTACAACTTAGACCACTTACAAATTAACACACCAAATAAAATTATAAGATTTTTAGTATAATTCCAGCCAGGAAAATGTAAATTCGCTTAGTCTGCAGGTTTGCTGCGGCGGGGTATTTTCAAAATAGTTTGCCATTTTCAAAATAGTTTCTCCAGTTTGATCGTTATTTTATGGTATCATGATTATAACTAAGATGAGAGTCTATTGTTACAAAAACACTTAATCAGAGTGTTTGACTACCAGACTTAACAACAATGTTATATCCTAATTAACTTGTCTCTGGCATTGTAACATGAGTCGTCATTGGCTGAGCTTTGTTAACCCTTTTGCTATTTCAACTCCCACTGAAAATATCATCTTTCCTTGTTAATTTTGCTTAGGTTATCATCCAATCAACATTACCAGTACATTACCATGTTGTTAAATTCCAATGTAATTTCATTACACTATGTTTTCAGTCTAAAAGTGGCTGGTTTATTAATTAGAATGTATCTATTATTCGATTAGTTATTCAGAGGCCTAAAGTATAGATTCTGAAGAAAACGTAAACAATTACTAACATTAAAAACCTATATAGTTTTACTTGCATAACAAATGTAAAATTTTATAAAACAAAACAATAGTTCATTTGTGTGTGATGGAATTTTTAACTACGCAGGTGTTACACATTGTAACAAAAACAGGTCATTTTATCGTAGTGTATCGAAAATTACAATTTTCCACGCTATGTTGGAAGGTTGTCACTTTAGGGAAGTTGGAGTGTTTGAACAAGGATAATTGCTTTTGGTAAGCCAATGATTAATTTTCTTACCTTGGCAGTTTTATTCACAGAAAACTGGGTAAATAAATGCTGATCTGATGGTGACACTTCAATATTAACAGCTCGAAATGTTCGACAAGTACGCTACATAATATAGTAATTCAAAGAAGAACGCAGTTAGTTCAAGTAAAAATATAGGGCCAATGCAGGGGTAAGATAAAATGATGGATGAAATAATATACTCGTTTAGTAATTATGTTTTTAACAACGAAAAAACATATTCTGTTCAGTCAACAATTATTAAAATGTCAAAGAACCTCAGTAGTTTTTCCACAATAAATAGGCCTGAGATACTGTTTAATTTCTCAGTAAAAAACGTAGGCTACATGATTTCCAGAATCCAATTAACGATTTTAGTTAGCATTCAATCAAATGCAAGTTTATCAGAATAGTAAGGATCATAAAAATAAGTAAATCATGATTATTCTTGTTTAGAATATATTTTGTTACGAAGTAAAATAACAAACAACTAATTATTTGACATACAAAACAATTCTGATACATTGATAAAATTACAATAAATCAAATTCATTTGCACCCAAAACTGACTAAAAATCCATTCAACTTAATTTTTGTAAGGAGTATGAATACAGTACATGGAATTAAAATTAATTCAAACATGATAGGAATATAACGTTTAAATGTTAAGGAGCACAATTTATTTTTTAGAAGTGCACAAAAAATTATAATGGAAAAAAATGATTGAGAAAAAATAGTTTACAGGCCGAAACAAAAATAGTCTTTGGATAGCAGAGTTGACATTTTATTCTAACACTCCTCATCCCCATATTAAGCTGGGCGATAATTTTAATAGTATACACATTTCTTTAAAATATACAATCGTCAATCACCCAAAGTTTACAAAATGTGACATTAAAATAACGTTTTTGGTTTTGTAACAATAGCTTATAAGGAATCTATTAGAAAAATAGATTTTCCAGATTAGTAGTTAGATATGTATTAAGATTAAGTATTGTCCACCAACTTGCTTCCCAGTTGTCTTTACAGCAAAGAAACATTCACTAGAAAATAAACATTGAGATTGCATTGCTTGATATTTATTGCATTTGAGATTTTTGTTTCATAAAATTCATTAATGTATTTTACAATAACATTTAACCATCAAATATTTGTACACTGATGAAACAAATGGACATTTTGATTGGTAAAATATAACTGTATTTAAAGACAACCGATCACAGTAAACTATAGTTGGAGTGGCACACCGATTGAAGGTAAAATAGTATATAAATGCAATTTATAAATCGAACAGTTGGTACCTTTTACTCTTGTAATAATGTATAATGTATCGACCTTAAGTAGTGTAATAAAATTAAATAACGGAGAAATGTAAAATTGATTTTAAAAAGCCTGTTAAAATTACGTAATTTTAACTTTAAAATGTACACTTTTGTAATGCATGAAAGCTCTAAAGTGCCGTGTAAAAATTAATTAATGGAAACATATTTACAATGAAGCTTGATTCAGGTCAAGCCTAGATTTTTCAGTACATCTGACGAGGTTATATTAGAATTCGTCACCAACTATTCGTCACGTTAAAATATTTAAAATTAAATTAAATCTAGCAGCCTTAAATTTAGAAACAAATATTTCATTACAATGCAGGTAAAATATACAAGAATACATCAATCTCAGATTAATTTTGAGGCTATACTAAAACATTTCTTAAGAAATTATGTCATAAAGTTATGCAGCATATCAAAGTTTGTACTAAAAATCTATCGTAGCAACGACGTTAGGTAACATAGACTGGGAAACACCATAAGACATCTATTGGTAACATTACAAAACTTCCACTGTTCATAGTCACTATAATGGTCCACAATATAGGCTATACTTTTACACCATCACTTAACATCATCAGCGGCTTAACGTTCTGTGGGGAAGGACAAATTCCGTATGGGGAAATGAAGGGATCCATAAGCCAGGCCGAGGGATCCCTTTCTAAGTTTTTCGGACCTTTTAGGATTTTTTGTCAAATTTTCAATTGAAATTAATTTTAATTGCCACTTGTAAATGTGGGCTTTTAATTTTTTTAATCGATTTAATTTTATGTATGGTCTATACATTTTATCTACCCTAACCTGAAAAGGGGCCAAATAATCACTTTTACCGATCTACTAGGTCTGATGAGAGTTTAACATTGTTAAGACACTGATGATCACTATTCTAAGTGGCAGTTATTATTATGAATACGACACTCTGATACCTTCACATGGTAAATTGTATAGTAAACATAATTAAGTGAGATATCTACTTTAGATTACAACTTTGTTTCTAAAACTTAGTTGTTCAGTTTTTAGATTTGTTTAAATATTCAAATTATGTGATGAAGTTTATTAAAATAGTTTTGTTTCCGACTTTTAAAAGGTTTCAGTGTGGAATTTAGTAACACTGTTGGCCCAAAAATAAGTAATTGAAAAACCAGTAGGTATATATTAAATTTGATATTTTCCATTCCTACACTTTTATCCTGGATTTATGAAGATCCTTACATATTGCAACTTTGTTTCACAAAATCGAAACTATTACATAAGCCTACATTCACAATACATTCGGAAAATTACTAGAAACAACCCTCAATTTCTTTCTGAGATGTTTCACATTGTGCCGTGATAATGTGTGTATCATAATGGCACATATTGAAAATTAATGCCTGAAGTGCTAAAATTAGGTAGGCATTCAATACCAAATTCCTGTAACTAATTTGTGAACAATGTTTCTTAATGAGAGTCTTAACCCTTTCTCAATACAGCAACCTAATCTAGGCCAATGTACCTATGGTACAAATCCCCAATTAAATGGCCAGTTTGTAAATATGATTTAATTTGATATCAATGTCTATGTTTAAATTATCTGTACATAGATTTAACTTCGTAAAGCGAAAGATTTTGAAAATAATTGCTGTTGACGTAATAGTAGGCCTACATTGTCCAATATAAATTTGGTGATTTTTTGTTTATTTTCAAAAAAGTTGTTTTACTTTTCAATAAACAAAAAATACAATATTAATATCTCATTACACAGTATAAAACATTTCAAACCCGGATTGAGGCGCTTATAAGCTATACAGTATGTCAAATTTATTATACATATTCTACACAAATAATCATTATACTTTGTTATTTCCCACCTATACAACTTTTCATGCATCAACTTATATTAACCTCTTGTGTTGTGGACAACGTCAAAAATATTCTCATAGGTACTTACTTATAAATACATACATTTTTACATTTTCAAAAGCTATCAAACGTTGAAGGTTTTGGTAGGAAAAGTAATACTTCTATCTGCACACTCATTTTACACGCAAACACTGATACCGCCACTGTTATTGACCTAATGCTCCTGTTCTGTTTCTATGTACAGTTTGCAGCACTGCGTCTCAGTTTAGTTGCTCACTGATGCTCGGTGCATGCTCATTGATCACCGTGTTATGCTCGCTGCTACAAGCTCTGTTTATTTACACAGCCGTAGGGTCGTCATAAGTCTTGTGACCAATCCTCTCGCTCCCTGCCGAGCCCTCGAGTGCCACCGGTTCCCTCTTTTCAACAAGCCTGATATTGTGGCTGAAAAATAGATAATACATTTAGTATAAATAGAAAAAAAAACTTTTGTATAGTTATAAAGAAAAGAAAACACACACACAGCTGCAAAGGAAGTGTTGAAAATTTCACTACAGTCTGGATGTTGGTGATTACAGTGCGAGCATGCTGATTTCATGTGTCGAAAGTGTTAACGATACACACATGAAATCTGCACGCAGCTTAAAAACTGTATTGGAAAATTAAAAACGTTTAATGTTTCCAATGCAGTTTATATGATAATAAATAGCTTGTTAAATAAATTAACAAACATTAAGTAAACTGAAAAAAAAAACATTAAATAAAGCAATAAATTTACATAAAAACTGCATTAAATTAGAGCATTAATTATTTTAGTTTAAAGCATTAAATGTACATGACCCATCAAGTTTATAGCTACACCAGCTTCACCATTGGATAAAATATCAGAGAGATAAACAAACTTATCTTATACATTGTTCGAAAACTCGACCCAAAAATTTGTAATGTACAGAGTTCTCTATTTCCTCCCCACACTGTAAATAAAACATGTGATTGTAATTTCTTCCATTTGTTGCGATTTTCTGTTTATATTTCGTTGTTATTTCGTTACCAGCATGGCAACCCATAAGGCCCATGTTACTTTTTTAAATTTTATGTGAAGTTTTGTGCTTATTTTTGAGCATACTTTAATTTATAAAGGGATTCTGTACATCTACAGGAAAATATCTTTCCAACAGTATGCGTAGATTTTCCCTGCGATGCACACGAGCTGAGAAAAAAGGTTTTAAAGAAACAAGCTTGCCTATTAATATATAGACTAGTGCGATAAATTCATAACCTAAAAATGATTATTTTTCACTTACTAATGTCGTCCTCATCTTCAAGCTCAACAGATGCGGGCTGTGGCGCACCTTGTGCCATCTGTAACGTAAACAAATAAATAAAATAAAATCATTTATTGAGGTGTTTAACGCAACAGGCAATGGACCAAAGAAACGTGATTCATTTCATAAAGTTCTTTAGAGTCTTGGTATTTTGTTGAAAAATTTTTCTGGAAGGGTCTTTGGCTTGTTGAACTAACTCAGACCAGACATCGAGATACAATGTATAGACTTTGACAGGACCTATTTTTATGAACGTATGCAGATACCCACGGTTCCTGGTTCCTTCTTTGTGTCAAACGTTTGGGAAATTCTGAAGATGTTAATTTGTACAATTGAGAGCTATCGCTGTTGCTAACCAAGACACAAATTATTCTTTAATCAATTGATTTAGGTTTTTGAAGTGGTTACATGTACAGTAACTTATACATTAATTAACTTTAATCATCCACCTATTGTTGAAAAATCAAAGCTCTTGATATAGAAACTTTAAGGAGAATCGAAGCCACACTTGCCACATTTTTGACATCGTACAAAAAATACTTAACAAATAAAAAGGTAAGTAATTTGGTAACATTTGCTGTAACACATAGCCGTACCTTTCTGTTCTGAACCTCTTGTTGGGCCTGACGTAGCAGATCGTCCACGAACTGTGACGCCACGTCCATCACCTCCTGTCTATCACTGTGGTTGTGACTGTGGTAGACTCCAGAGTCCGACGTGAAGACAGGTGAATGCATCTGAAACACATAGTTTCTTTTTATCCCCTATATTCAGATGCTAGGACTTCTGGCTAAGCCTGGAGGATCACAACCATATAATATAGCTAAAGGCTATTCGCAAGATTTGGACCAAAGCCTCACACTCTACCAATAGCTTACCATTATGAGTTGGGGATGCTACGTGCGTATTTTAACGTAAATATGAGCGAAGGATGAGTGTAGAATGGAGTGTGATGCCTTGTTTAGTTTTTTACTGACTAAGACCAGCTGTATCATCAGTCAGGATCATTTATTGAAATCCAAATGATCAAGAATATCTAGGTCCAGCTTCGAATCATACACCATAGATCAGCTCGCTACCCCGCTCTAAAACACGGACGTTAATTTTGGGACGAATTAGAAGAGAGCATTACGGAATTGAAATATCTGATTTGAGAAATATTACATAGCTACCTCAAACATATTTTAAGTAACCAAACGGCCCTCATAAAGTGTTTTAAAACACACAATTTAGTTATTATGTCTAGTAACGTTTGTAACCAGGATGTACAGTATATGTAAATCAATAGTTTCTGATTAAACTATTTTAATTGTATTGGAAACTTTGGATTGTTTGATTGAATAACTTGAATTGAGATCAAAGGGAATGAACCATTCAATTACTGGAATTCCCAAGTAAGATTGTATTGTCCATTTAATGGAACAGAGCAAAGGTATTCCATTTTATGTCCAGTTTAAATGTAAATGGTAATTCAATGACATTTGCATGTTGGTGTGATTGGCTCCAATACTGTAACAATTTATTGGTAAGAAAATAGTTAAAACTGTTTGGTTAACTTCTTTATTTTATTTTTGGGTTTTTAAATAAATGCATTGTTTTGTGGTAATAAATGTACAGCACCATATCTTATATATCCTTAATAAAATTAGGGTATTCCCTGTTCCATCTCTTTTCCAGCCGCCAATTTTCACTAGTTATGTGCCATTTTATAGCTCATAATCTAGTGTACCTGATAATAGTAAATAATAAAATAATTTCCTTTAGAGCCTCACCTTTTGCGTTACAATTTTACTTTTTTTTTGAGCTCATAGAGCTTTCAAAAACTTACAAAGTTGATGCTAAAATGATTTTTTCTCAAGAGAAAGTTTAAAATAAATACTAGCTGTGTACCCGTTCTACGCACGTCGACAACTGTAATGTAAACACTTGGAGTAATTTACAGGTGAATGTGTGTACAGTTTACATCCAAGTCAATATCTTTCAACTATCTTCTGTTGTGGCAACTGCACCAACCACCAACCACCAACCACCAATGCTGGTGTTGCTATTTCTCAAACACTTTATTAGGATTCCGATGGGAAAAAGATACCAAAGAGGAGGGAGATGGAATATTCTCCCTTTACACTATTATAAAGGCTTCTAAGGTGTATTTAGACATTTATGACATTTATATGTATTTTGGAATATAAATGTGTTAATAAATGTTTTAATGTTTTAATTCCAGTTAAATATTTTTAACTATACCTGATGTAACTTTGTAGCTTGTATATATTTTTCATAATTGATGGTCAGGGAAAGCTGGGCCTAGTTTCGAACCATAAAAAACTACTGACTTAAAATAACCTAAAACCAGCGCCCAAAAGATTATAGTTTATAAGAAGGCTAAGGGAAAAATATTAAGAGGGAACTTGGGCGATGGCCAATCAACATTAATCATTTGTCACCAGCCACCATTACAGTAACCTCCTCCATTAGATAAGTTGAGGAGTGGTTGACTCTGGAAGAATTCTCTTAGTAGCTTTCTCACACTTATATATATAAAATTCGTTGACTTTTCTAATTATTTACCAGAGTTAAAATTATTTTTATAATTTTTCAAACTTAATTTTTTTTAAGCATCCACCACAGTCTACGACATTTCACAGTGTAAATCGTGTACATTAGGTTGATAAAAAGTTGTTGCCCACTTTATAGCATTCTTGACTTAGGAGTAGGATCTTAATATGATTTAATATGTTGTGATTATACTTAAAATGTTGTTAAAACTAATTTTATATCTTTAAAGTGATTCATTATAGTGAAAAACATGTTTTACAATGACTACTTAAATAATTGTTTGGTTTAAGCTACTTAAAATTATTTTATATCAATAAATATTTTTCACCCGTACAAAATCGTTATCCTTATATCCTTGTAATATGAAAAATTATCTTCATACGTTTTTGGAAACAACTTTAGGAATGAAATGTAACAACATATATTTATTACTGTAATTTTAAGGTGTATTATTGTTTTTAGAGTTAGGCCTAAAGTATTTTGTCTTTCATGTAAACAGATAAAGAACATTTTGTAATAAATTCAACTTGTTATCGTGAAATGGGAAACTTTATGATGTTTGTCAATGAGATATAACATAATTTATTTGTCACACATTTATAAAAAAAATAACTTTTTAACAAAAGTTATATAGGCTAAATAAGAGTGTGGATAAAACACAAGTAAGAAAGTGTGTTATTATAATTTAAGAGTATTTAGAAATAATTGTTGATTGGAGTTTACATAGTATATCATAGACAGTTAACTGTAAGGGTAAACAAAATTTGATAAGGACTATGTAAATGTAAACTGTTTTTGAGGCACTTTCATCTTATTTTAATTATGAATTTTATTTTTAATGTATGGAAAAAACTACAAAACAACTGAAAACGTACATCATATGATTATGGACTTATAAAGGATTAAACACTTTCGTGCAAATATAAGGGTAGTATAATCAATTATTAGAGTGGAAGTGAAAAAGCTCTTTACTTTATCTGATAGTGATTAGAAGTAACAAAGCTTTGGCTTTAGAAAACAACTTGGGATAGCTTAGTGAAGTAAAGAGTTTAACTTTTGTAACTTTCTTAAAAGATGTTACAGTCTTAAGCAACATAATGCAGATAGTAGGTTTTGTGGGGCCCAAAGAAAACTAACAGCCTTATAGTGAAAAGGTTTTGTCAAAAAATAAATTGTAAAATGAATTGTTCAAACTAATCAAGGACCTTATAAAATTCTATGATTTTCACTGAAAAAACCTATGAGTTCCGTATATTTTCAACATAAAGTAGGTTGCCTTGTCCCATTACATGTTTTATTTTCACTATTAGGCCTACATAAAAAATAGTTTTTTGTAAATTTAATATTATTTTTGGCAAACAAATTGAGCCTTTTTACCAACTGGTATTTTCGTGTCAAATGATCTTTTACCTACTTGAATCGCAAAGAAAACGTTACCGAGAACATACAGAAATATATTTGATCTAGGTGTATCTTATATTTCAAATCACAGCAAAGGAAATTGTCGTTTGTCGTACATTATATGAGCACAGATGAGGAACATTTTACGATAAATTGAGTCATTTGTCACAAGAAGCGTTATCGTGAAATGGGGAAAGTTCTGACTCGTCAATGACAAACGACACAGGCCCTGCCGTAATTTATTTTAACACATTTATCTTCCGGAAATAATAATAATACATAATGTTGAGGTGCCGGTATACCATAATTTAGCCATTCAGATATGTGTCATCAGTTCAATTTTTAAGTTCCTTTTTTGTGCAAAATGTAGGTGATCATAAATGCTGAACAATATTTTAAAATATTTAATTACTGCAATAAAAGCTAAATAAATGTTTGTTTCGGACATTTATCCATTCAAATTGTATTCTTTCTTATTTTAAATCTACAGCTACATCATTAATCATAAACCAAACTAAAAAGAGGATTTTGAAATCTGAGTTTAAAGTGTACGAATAGACTAAACATTTTTCCAATTTTTGCATTCAAGCACACAGCCATCTTTTAAATTTACGGATATTGGAGTTATATTTTAATACGTAAGTGTCCATACTTAATTATGGATAGTTATAATTGGATTTCAATCTAATATATTCAAGCTAAACAAGTTGTAGAATTTTCCTTTCTTTATTGTAAAATATGTATCTTTTAATAAGGTCTTTTAGGTATGGAGCGTTACAACAGCGCACATAACCAACATCTCTAATCAACAATCGACATATGATTTGCACATAACAGCTGATTACCATTACAGCTGATGAAGTTACCATGGACATATCTGATTTCTTTTACAGCTAACTAAATGGTGTTTTTAAAAGAATGCCGGGATTTTAAATGGTAATTGCTTGGATACTATTCAAGGTAACTAAACGTTTTATACGTCAAATTGAAGCTAAAATAAACTCGATTGCCCGACGAAGTCTTCAGTTTAAAAACCCTAAATTGGTAATTTTATGTTGTTATCTGTAAAAGATAGAGTCTTTGTGCCGAAAAAGATTCAGTTAAGACATCAGATAAACATGCCGATCGCCCTAAGCGTACAGACTTTGCCAGTTTTACGCTCATATAAGATTGATGAAAATCTGAATGTTATTAAATCATTCCGCATTGTATGAAAGAATTAGGAAAAAACTGTATTCTTTTCCCTTCAATTTGACGTTTAAATCGTTTAATTATCTTTAATAGTCCCTGAGCAACGACCGTTTGAAATCCCGGCATTCTTTTAAAAACACCCTGTATTAAGTTTGAAGGGTTACAACCATTGAATAAACGGGGAAGGAAAGGTTGTTTTACTAATAATATACGTGTTTAAACGTACATAATTCAATAATTGGTCAACATTTTTAACATGCGTGCTCAGACGCTGCTCAGTTTGTATCACATCTCGTAGTAAATTGTCATCATCCGCCCTCAACAAAATTAGGTTTCAACTTTTATAATAGGACGAGAAGTTAACATGAAGCGTCCAAATATTGGATATTATATTATACTCGTTATCAATTATGTTCAGATTCAACCTTTCGTTACGGTTAGGTAAAAATAAATTAAAATAATATAAGTATTTTATTGTTACCGTCGTTCCAATGGGGGTTTACGTATGCGTTTACAATAAAAATCGTAGCCCAAACCATAAATTCAACCAATCTTAAACGTCAACACAAACACGTCCATTCAAAAATAC